CTTAGCTTGTTCCATTGAACGGTATAATGCTAGCTGCTGGGACACCAATGTTTTCGTCTGCGTCCCAGTATGACCTCCCTTTCAATGCAAACTGAATCCACAGCTAGTTCAACTGCGGCATGCACTAGACCTGATGATATGGAACCATCATGGCCACCTTGCAGAGCTTCCATTGTGCGTTCCGCGCGTTCTGCGCCATGATGCACGCCTTCTCAGACATCTTCTCAATGTGGTGTCCGCCCCACTTCTGGCGGCTTGGAAGACGGAGCGCGCGGTGTGGGCGTGCAAATGCTGGTAGTGCCCTTGACACGTTGCCCGCAGGCGCGTATAGCGTGTCTAGGTGGTGAGGGTGCATATGGTGCTGTGTCAAAACATTATCTCTCGTTTAGGATCAGGTCTGCCCTCACTGACGTACTGTTCAATAAGTTTGAGCGAATTCAGTGTTTCCGGGGAACCTCTGGGTATGTTCGAGCGGGCACTGACCAAGAGACGCCGCAAGGCAATGTACCGAATGCGACTTTATGAAGAACAAAGGTGTCTTAGGTTTGTGCGTGTCCTTCTCTTGGGCCGTAGGCTGAGGCTGCTGATAGGCGTGCAGCCTTGACAGAAGGGTCCTTGGCGGAGCCGCGACGAGAAGCGTACTTGACGACCATTTCCACCTCACAGGTTGTTGCGTGAGTGCGGTTCACTGGGACAGGATTCGGAAGAAGGCGCGAACTTTCAGACCGTGTCGTAAATCAAACGGTCGGGCGCGGTACGAAGGGTCTGCTCGCGCGCATCCTAGTAACTTGCGCCATTCAAGGCGCGGTACAGAGATCTCAGCAATCATCGTATGCCGCAACCTCATGACTACGCATACTTGCTCGACTGAACTCGAAGGCTACAACACATGGTGAGTGAGAGTTGGGCCGGGAGATGTCCAGGATGTTGGGTGCATTTTGATACCGTACACGTGGACGTTGCCTTCAGAACGTTTAGGAAGATCTTGAATACCGACCTGTTCAGAAGGCTGTTACGAGGTTATCGTTCCTCCGTATACGCGATCAATAGGACAATCCTCGCAACCAGCTGCGTCGTTTCAGAAGCAGGTGGGATTGGTACGGTGCACAATCTATTTTTGACCTCCCAGTCAACTTCTTACGATTACTCCTCTCAATCCGCTTCCAGATAGCTTGGAACTATCGCGCCAAATGGTGTTTGTGCACTACCGGATGGTGCGCACACTTGCATAGCGCGATACTGTACGTCTGTGTTGCAATACCCACGGCGGCGGCAGCACTCTGCGTTCTACGCACCAATGTCAAAGTCGCGATTGCAGGGAATGCGCGACTGTGGCAATTCACGTGATGGGTCGCGTTGTCGATACAACACGTTGAGCACTCAGTAACAGTGTCGGGTCGCGCCTGACTGGCCTACGCTCGAGGCGAGGGGTGTTCTCAACTCCATCGTTCACGATTCCGCCCAGATCGTTCAAGGACATCCTGCGAAATATAGGGTACTTCATTGGTTGCGGTCAACACATGCGGCACTGCTCGGCTGACTGGTGGATAGCAGTCGATGGTCATCGCACTATGTCGCCACCGCTGGCCGCGTAACACGACCAGGTACATCCAGACGGGCATATATATACCTCGGGTCTCTCTTCTTGCTGAACCAGCTCCTTTACTACAAGCTCTCAGCTACAAGCCCCAAATTCAGCTGCACAACCGCATCTTTCTATACGATGGCCAACGCACAGCTCGACGTTACCCGGGAGATCAAGCTCGACCACGACAACGTGCGCGAGCTCTTCCAGAGGTACAAGACGACCACGGATGCCCCCACGAAGAAGGCTATCGCCAACACCATCATCCGCGAGATTACCGTCCACTCCGACGCCGAGTACGCTCTGCGCTCTTCTCTGTGAGAGCGTTGCTGATACGCTCCCCCGCGCAGGGAGGCTTCGGTGTATAACGACTACGCGACCGTCGGCCTCGGCAGCGTCGCGACGCACAACAAGGAGGAACATGCGGAGGTGAAGCGACTCGTCTCCGCCGCCGGCGCGCACGGCTTCGACAAGTCCGGCTACGACGACGTGCTCACCAAGGCATTCACTGCCTTCGATACGCACGCGCGTGAGGAGGAGACGGACCAGCACCCGACTCTCCGCCAGAAGCTCTCTGCGGAGGACAGTGACGTACGTGTCGGTCCGCCACGGTTTCATGTGTGCCCAGTATTGACTGACGCTTTGGTGCTTGGCAGAGGATCGCACGCGCGTTCCTCAGGGCGCGCACCTCGGTCCCGCAGAAGGCGGCCGCAGGGCTCACTGACTTCGTCGCTGTCAAGTACGTGCATGCCGCATTCTAAGCGAGCTTTGAGTTGGGAGTGTATGAATGGGGCGAGGCATGTGTCTGTCTGTGTTGTACTGCGTAGCAATGATACTACATAGCGTATGTGATGGCGATGATGGGTGACCTGGTATATGAAGGAACGAGTACTGCGAAACCTAGATCTGGGAACCACTTGCGCATGTCGAATGCACAGCAGGTCAAGCACTCTATACGCCATCAATCCATTGGGCTCGCCATTTGCCCTGGGTACTCTACAAGTGTGCATAATGCGTAATATGAACCTAAGAGCCCACCCGGGGTTGGAGGTGGCGCCGAACGTCTCACTTTTTCAAAAGCGTCACCACATTCGTCAGAGGGGTAGCTCACCAGAGTGGCAGTCACCTCGAAAATTCACAGAACTCAGTCCGCAACCTCGGAATGTCGCATTGAAACCCAGTTGGGAGACGCCAGTGAGTTTGCCTCCGAGTCGATGATCACTGATTCACCAGCACTATCAAGTCTCCATAAACCCGAGTCGTTGTCGAATAGCACGCCGTCTGCCATCCTGCACCAACACCCGCCCGAAAACTGCACTTCGGTTGCATGTCGGCCTGCAGCTCCTCCGGGCTTGAGGCATTCCGCGATGCTTCACTAGTCGTTCATACCAGACTGGATGAAACAGCGGAAGATATGGGCCGGGACTGAATAAGCATGTTAACGCATTCATCAAGTACATAGATTCTTCGATGCACGCGGAGGCTACCGTCGGCTTGTCTTTCTGCGTTTATGCGACGGTGTACGCAAGTTGCCAGTTTCCTTGGTCGCAAACACGCGTATAAACATGATCCTACCCGTTCACTGGCAGTGACATGGACGTACCTCGTAATTCCCATCGACCAGTAGTCTCCGTGGCAGAAAAGGAAAGCCAGCGGACAATCCGAGAACTTTGGCCTCGATGGTCGTGCTATCTTGGCGACATCGTGACTCAACAAGATGTATGCATTGCGACTTGATGGAGTGCTACAATAACATCCTTCCCGCCCATCGAGGCACTGCAATGCACTCTCGCACATTCTCGACTCCCGATATCCAACTGATGAAGCGCTCAAATCCAAGCCCGAAGCCTCCATGTGGCGCCCCACCGTATTTCCTCAGCTCGGTGTACCACCCATACTGCGCCTTATCCAGCTCTTGCCGCTCCAACGCGTTGTTCAGCAGCTCGCTCCTCTCCTCGCGCAACGAGCCCCCAGCGAGCTCTCCGAGGTGCGGAACGAGGAGATCGAAACAGGCTACGGTCTTGTCGTCGTCGTTGAGGCGCATATAGAACGGCTTGAGCGACGCCGGATAGTCGGTCACGAACACTGGCGCCTTGACGAGCTCTTCGGCGAGCCATCGCTCGTGCTCGCTCTGCAGCGGCTTGCCCCACGCGGGCTCGAACTGGAACTTCCGTGCCGACGCCTGGTACTTTGACAGCTCCGAGACCGCGTCTGTGTAGCTCAACCTTGTCCAAGGCGCGGTGGAGGATGCGGTGTGCAGATACTCCAAAATTCGCGGGCTACTGGGACCCTCCGCAAATGTCCGCGAGTGAGCTTGCGTTTTGGTAATACCGTCTTTTACGGCCGCTTCGACAACGGAGCAGACATCGTTGACCGTCTGGGTGAACGCCCACTCTGCTTCGAGCATCCAGAACTCTGAGAGATGTCGGCTTGTCTGTGAACGTTCCGCGCGGAAGCACGGAGAGAGGGTATACACCCTCGACAAGGCTGTTGCCAGAGCCTCGAGATGAAGCTGAGAAGAGACGGTGAGATACGCTGGATGTCCAAAGAACTCAGAGGGCTTGTCCGTGTCCTTCTCCGAGCTTAAGTCGGATATCGCAGATATGACGCGGAAGGTCTCTCCGGCACCCTCACAATCGCTGGAGGTCACAATGGGGGTGTGCACGTAACAGAATCCTAATGACTGTCGGTCTATGAGTCACCATTTAAAAGCAGGATGCGCGGCCTCGCACATTGAAGAATTTCTGGAAGGCATCCGACGATGTCGCCCGAAGCCTGAGCATCTCTGAAATCCTGCTTGTTCGCGCGCGGAAGTGGCAGTTGTCTCGCAGATACTCCATCGTGAGGGCCTGCTTTTGAATAGGATACGTCTAGTCGATGTTCATTGAGTTCTGCGCCACGGGCATTGGCGGCACCACGCACCGCTGGGTCACACTCGCCCACAACCTGCACCTCCTCCACGCGTAGCTCCTTATCCTGTCCCTTCCCAAGACTATGCGTAAGGGTGCCTCCGAGACTCACGCTTGCTCCGTTCGTTAACCTTGACGGTCCAAATCAGCCACCAAGTAGCTTACAAAGTGCACGTCATTACACGACATAACCACGCACACTTCGGCTAGGGACCCATCCCGTATGACCGCCTGCAGACCCTGCGTTGAACTGCCGTCCGAGATGACCGCGAAGGTGACATTCTTCTGGCGCCGAACAGACTGGACCCAACCATTCACTTTTACTCGCACATCAGTAGCTGACCCACTGAGGAGTTGGCGGATGGTTGGAGGGAGGATAGACCCGGAAGCGACGCGTCCGAGCATGCTACAAGCAATGGGATCCCCGACTTCGGGCAAGACCCTACAGACAAGCGGGACAATTTTAAATTTGATTATGAATTTAAATACACAATAGCAATATTATTGCCCGCCTAGCTCAATCGGATAGAGCGTCAGACTCTTACTTGTCGGTTCTGACTATAGGTGTGCAATCTGAAGGCTGCGAGTTCGACCCTCGCGGTGGGCTAATGTACATTTTGTTCTTCAGAGTCAACTCATACAGTCTTCAACGGGTCCTTGAGACAGGGTTACTGCCACATCATATAATTCAGAAAGAATTAGGATAATTAAGTGGAGTCATGCAATCACACCTTTGAGGTGTCATTGAGAGAAGACGAATACTGAGAGGCTTATGGTATGTCGAAGATCCCAGAATTCGCATCTCACAACAAATTGTTGCCCGATTTGGAAGATGGCGTTACATAAGATAGTACTCGCAGACGAGCTGCAGCTTTCTTGGGTACAAGCCATGTCCAAGATCAAGGTTGTAGCTTTTATAAGGCTGGTACAAACTCGGAACATCTTTATGAGAAACAAAGTACTCGTTTACAGCGGTCAACACAGCAACAGGCGGTGAGATCGGTCGCCCGATTTGGCAGGTGTCTCAAGGACCGATCTGACCCTTGATAACGACAAAACGGTACTGATCTTTGCATTGTACGAAGACTATCAGACTGATAAGGACTGGGGATTTTGAAAACATGCTTTCAATGCGATAGAACACATTCATAAACTCCGCTCTGCAGTAGCGGAAGGTGTACGGTCACGAGAGACTGAACATCATTTGAGAGTCTCAAGGACCCGTTGAAGACTGTATTCCGCAGCAGGAAGAATTCGTTGGCATACTTACTTTCAAGATGCCTGAGTTGCGAGAGGTGTCTCACAATACTACCCGGACTCAAGCGGCGGCAACCTTTACCGTGTTGGTCAATCATGGCCTCGTCGTCCCGAGGGCTAGTGCACGACTGTACCGTACGTAGCTGTCCATCAGCCAATCTTGAATACTACTCAGTTGTATCCTGTAAAGCAGCATGACGACTTTGAAAGACACGAGTCTGGTACTCCAGTAGCATCCGAGGCCCCGTTTGAACTTGACCAACTGAGTTCCTCTCACGCTCCCAAACTCCGAGGTAAGCATTTCACCGTGGCGGTATTACAGGTATATTAATTTGTGTCCAAGCACGCGTCGTAAAAATACAGTATCCAAACAACAACAACATCAACAACAACTTCGTGGAGGGTCGTGACCGTTACATCATGAAGAGCGTACAACCTGGCCCATACTCTAGTCCGGGCCTGCCATCTCACCGGGCGAGCACAATCGCTCGCCAACACAGCCGGCGCGCAGGCGCAACAAGACGGGCCAACCGACCCGGCCCATCCGCAACCGCATCCGCATCCACGGACGCGTGCCGCTAGTCCACGTCCTTCTCGTGGACCTCCTCGATGCTCCTCGGGCGGGACTCGAGGTCGGCGTGCTGGCGCTTCTCGGGGAGGGCGGGGTTCCCGTGCGCGTCGACGCTGGCGTCGGGCAGCTCCTCGTCGCGCACGGCGCCCTCCTCGAACGCGGCCTTGGCCTTCTCGAAGTGCGAGCCGTGGTGCTCCGGCCCGACGATCGTGCAGACCACGACGAACGCCGCGACGACGCCGACCAGGATCCCCTGCACCGTCGCGTAGTCCGCGACCGTCTTCGTCACGCCGTCCACCGTCACGGTCGTCTTGAGGTGCTTGCCGCCGGCTGCGATGCGGGGTGTGGGTGTCAGTGCATGGAGGGGTGGAAGGAGGAGAGGGGGGACTTACTGGTTTCGATCTGCGCGGAGGCGGAGGAGACCATGTTACCCAGCTGGTACGCGACGCCGGGGAAGGTGGCACGGAACGCGGGGGGCGAGATCTCCGCGAGCAAGATCGGGATCTGTGCACAGAGATCGAATCAGAAATGGCTGCAACTCGGGCGGACGCGAGAGCACGCACGACTCCCCAGGCTCCTTGGACACCAAACTGCACGCAGAACGCGCCAGCGGACAGCGCGCCGAATGTGGACGGGAGGATCCACAGCGGGATGAATGCCCCGAGGAGCAGGACGAAGAGGATGATCGTAAGTCGCCGGCCGATGTACTGAGAGAGCCATCCGGCGATGGTTCCGCCACTGCACGCGAGATCCGTCAGCACCGCATATTGTAGAACCGCGCAAAGTGAACTTACGCGATGGCCCCGCAGTTTCCGATGATGGTCGCGACGGTCGAGGCATGCGCGGTGAAGCCCTTCGTCGTCTGGAGGTACGTCGGGTACAGATCCTGCGAGCCGTGCGAGAGGAAGTTGAACCCGGTCATGAGCACGACCGCGTAGCAGCACAGGATCCAGTGCTTCTTGAGCATCTCCTTCGTCTCGCGGAAGAACACACGGGTCTTGTGCTTCGTCGTGCGGCCGCTGGCGCGCTCGGCGGCCTTCGCGCGGAGGAAGATTTCGCTCTCCGGGAGGACTGCGCGGACGGACGCCGCGAGGATGCTCAGGCCCGCTCCGAGCCAGAAGAGCCCACGCCAGCCGGTGGGGGTCTCCGGTACAAGCGTCAGGTTCACCACTGCGGCTAGGAGGTACCCGACGGCGTAGCCTTCCTGGAGGAACCCGCTCGCGAGCCCACGGGCCTCGACGGGAAGGTTCTCCAGCGCGGTCGACGCGGCGAGGCCCCAGATGCCGCCCATGGCGACACCGAAAAAGGAGCGCACGATAAGGAAGGAGCTGAATGTCTTGACGAAGCCGGAGCCGAGCTCGAAGGCCGCGGCGAAGAGGAGGTTCACGACGAGCGGCCATTTACGGCCGAAGCGGTCGGATGCGACACCGAATATTATCTGGAGGTGGAGGGGCGAGTCGAGTCAGTGGACGTCAACGGGGGCGAGACAGAATGGTCTGGAATGTAAGCGCCGCGGCGGACCCATCGATCGCGGCGGTCAGGAACATGGCCGACTCGCGCCCGAAGTCGGGTGCACCGCTCGCGAGGGGAGTGAAGGAGGTACTACTCACAGCACCTAATGACCGGAAGAGAAGTGTAAGTGTGATGGCGGTCGTCTGGACGGCTGCGTCAGATGATATCATACGATACGATATGGACAGGGTGTATGCGCACAATGGAATTGGCGTTTTTGTTGAATTGCTTTTCAAGGGCGGTGACGCTGAGAGACACGCTGAAGAAATCATACGAGTCGCATATCCACGCCAGCCATCTGCACCAGGCACGGGCATCAGTGCCGAAGAAGGAGTGAATTGAGAAGCGAGTTCGGTACGCACCCACACCAGAACTGGGCCCACTGTATCCATGTAAGGCTGCGAAGGGCCTGCCAGAGCGTCAGGTCGCCGACATGCTTTTCGCGGTGGGGTATGAGGTTTGCGAAACAGCGTTGAAAGAAACGGGCTACCGGGGACGACATGATGGATGTAAGTGGGGGGACACGGAGGAGTCTATGAGACGAGCTTAAGAAATAAATACGGACGGCCGATTGGAGGGGTCTCGGCGAACAGGGTTCCCCCGGACTCCCCACATCATACCCCACATCGCGCCGTAGCGCGCTGCGTTCGTCCCGGGCCCGGATGCCGGATCCGCACCGCACTCTCGGGCAGTCCGCGCGGCCGGGGTCTGAATCCCCGGTGCGAATGGCCGACGCACTCCGCACTGACTCGGGAGTTCGATAAGAGTTCACTGCCTGGCCGTACTCGCCGCTCACCAGGGCTACCAGGGGGAGTCGCTGACACTGGCGGCGTCGTCGCCGCACAGCGCGTCAGGCACGGCGTCGGAAGGTGCCAAGAATGGAACGATCGATGCAGAATCAGGGATTGTTGCGATCGAAGATGGTTACCCCGGACCACGCGGTCACCTGCCCCATCGGCCCTCTGCACGCGAACCGTCCAACTGATGCGCGAAGCAGCCAACGGCGCGGGCTCCCGGGCTGCCAGCTTAACGGCGCACAACGCCTCGCAGATCGTACGTCCCAAGAAACCGAAGAGCAAGCCGACGAAATGTCCGGAACGCGTCCCCATCAGATAGAGCCCAGTCAGCGGGTTCATGTATAGTACCGCCCAGCAAGAGCTTTCCCGTGAAATTGCCGTCAACGTTCATGACACTTTGGAGAGTTGGCACGAGCGGGGTAGGACCCCAACAACCGATCAATCCCAGAGTTAGCAGGCGTTAGTACGGAGAATCTGATTGACTGCCGCACTCGGAGATGGCCTTGAAGGGCCCCGAAGCCACAACCGGAGCGCCGCCTACTAGATATTACCCAGTAGCATTAATACACCATCCTAGCTGCTCGGAGCTTCTTGCATGACACGGCCACAGGGACAGTAGCACTCAAACCATAGACTTAAGGAGTAGGTGGTTGCAAGGACGCAGTCTTGTCAAGGAGGCGCCATTCGGAGGAATTTTATAGCACAGATGTGTTCCCATTGGCAGGTGTGCCAATACCGGAGAGATAGGGTCAGTACTGCGGGACAAGAATATCGAAGAAGAGAGCCGCACTGGCAGATGCAAACTTGAAGCATTTCCCACCGGCATACTTCCGTGTCACTGTGTCCTAGACCTGTCAGAAATCCATCTGGAATATGTCACAGATACAGTAGTATGGCCCAAGGTCAAATACCACACGTCCCAAACCAAGTAACTGGGCTCGCCCGCAGCGCCCGACGAAGCGGGATATATCGGAGGCGCACATGCTCAATTAGGAAGGCTGAGGCTTTAGATCCTAGCAGGACCAAACAACTCGGTATCTCGCGGGGGCGGCGCGGCCGACTGCAGAGCCACCATGACCTTCAAGATGGTCTAGGGTTGCGCGAACATCTCCGCGGCGAATTAACCGACCCCAGAGTTTCACTCTGCACGACATCCTCACTTCAGCTGTACCGCCGTCTCAGCCAGTTTGCTTGGTGTTTATCGTGCGCCGTGTTTGCTCGCATGTACTCCTGTGTGAAGTGATCTCAGATCCACGTGGAGAGCAATCTGCCACAGACCGAGTCGAAGACCTCGGCTCCCGCAGTCTAGATCGTGGCGAGGCGGCTTCGAAGCTCGGCGACGCCGCTTGGCGCCTAGCCCGACGCGGCGTCGCCGAGCCCAGTGTCTCGGTCGACTCTCTTAGCGTTGTGGGTCCCGTAACTTCGCGACACCCTCCGTCCTTGGCTCGGGAAATCCCGCTGCGTACTGAC